CCAGCCCAGGTGCCAGACTCCAGGCAGAGCCCTCCAGACCCTCATTGATGTGAGTGGAGCAGAGAGGAGTGCCTCCGCCCACAGAGCCCAGTGCTGCCTGCAGGCCGCCAATGCAGGAGCAAACCAGCAGAGTAGCTGCAGACGCCGCTCGCTGTGGGGCGGTCCACAGCACACCCATGAACCACCGGACAGGATATGGGACCCGGATGTGGGCAGTGCTCTGAGAAACCCCAACTGTGGAAAGCGAGGACCTGACAGTAGGGGAGGCAGAGGGACCCGGAGGAGAGCATTGGAGTATGTAGTGTGGCTCTGCAGACACCCATGGTCAAAGGATGCTGCCCACACCATAGGGTGCGAGGGCCTTCTACCTGTGAGGGGGCCTCACAGAAGGTTCACTTCCTAGAGCCTCGGAGTCTGCTCTCGGCCCAACTAAGGGGCCACGGCACAAGCCCCTGCCCACCGAGCATTGATTGCAGCCATGCCTGGCCATCCCCAGTCACTTTCCTGGCCCCTGGCAATTCAAGGGTGGGCACCATGCCACCCGGGGATCCTTGATACAAGGCCTGACGTGGAAGAGACGGGACGGCCCAGGGGTGCACATGGGGCATGGGGTGAGCCGCGGCACTGCAAGACGTGAGACACTGAGGGTCCGCGTCCCCCCACACACAGATGGCTGGGTCTCGGCCCCCACATGGGAGGACAAGGACAGCACGCCATCTCTCAGACGGAGGAGACCTTTGGACGCCAGTGACCACCGTGGACTCTGTCCTTACTCATAACTTCTGTCTGTCCCCAGAGGACAGCTGTGGCTGGGAGAACAGCTTCCCTCGGACCCCGGGTGCTGCTCCACCTGTGAGTCAGAGATCCAGCCACGGATGGAGCCAGAGAGGGATGGAGGGAAGCAGCAGGGACCCAGAGGAAGACAGCTTTCTACTCGGGGGGCCGTCGTGGCGGGAGGACAGGATGAGGCCGTGGGCTGGGCTGCGGGCTGTGAGCAGGTCAGCCTGTGTCCACACTGCATGCTGACCGGGGCAGGGGGAGGTGTTCTCTGGGGTGTGGGGACCAGAGGGTTCAGACGAGAGGCCCAGGTACCCCTGACTGTGTTGGGGCCATCGGGTACAATGACTGTGGGAGGGAGAAAGAGAAGACAGGCACGTGAGCCCGGGCTTGCTGCACTCTCCACTGGGCCCCAGGCACCACCCCCCCCCCACTCCCACGCACCCACGTGAGGCAGCCTCTGCCTCGGAGGTACTCCCCCCAGGCTCTCTAAGACAGAAACTACCCAGAAGAAAAGAGAACTTCAGGAAGCAAGCGGTGCCCCTGCTTTCAGTCTGGTTCTTAGTCCTTGCAGGGCTGTGGGGAGGTCCTTCACACCTCCGAGAACCAGCCGTGAATTCCTAGGAAGCAGGGCAGAGGGCAATGTGCCCGGGACCAGAGCAGAGAGAGGCGAGGGCTCCTCGAAGGCCCTGGCTCATCTGCTGGGGAGCGGCTCCCACAGCCCCGACCCTCGAAGAGGGGGTTCCACGCAGCAGGGGGACGGGAGTGCAGTGGGGGCCGTGGAACCACCGCAGCTGTAAGGAGAGCCCAGGCACCCAGGGACGACTCCGAGGGGCTCAAGCAGCTGAGCCAGCGCAGGGGAGAGCAGGCTGCCCACGGGCCACAGTGCCGACCGAACGCAGGCACCATGCAGCCACAGGCAGGGCGCGCCCACGCCAACAGAGCTGGACACACTGGAGGTCAAACGAGGTCACCCTTGAGGAACTTGATGGCCTGGAGGCCAGAAGCCCGAGGGCTGCGCTTGGCCAGCTGTGCTGAGGGCAGGACCAGCCAGGAGCTGAGCTGCTGCAGCATGGACGCCAGGATGCACAGATGGGTCTGAGCACAGAGAGGGGCTGGCTCAGAGCAGGGGAGGAAGAGGACCTCCAGGTGGCCTAAGGGTCCTGTCCACACCAAGGAGCCAGCTCAAGCCCCAGGGCAGGGACAGACGTGACGGCCGTGGGGTCCTAGGCTACAGCCAGGACCGAGGGCAGCAGGTGAGCCAGGAGTAGAGCCCGAGGGGCCAGTGGATGCACCCGTGTGCTCAGAACTCAGACTGCACAGGGCTGGGCAGGAGCTCAGTGGCTACGGGATGGGCGTCGGGACCCAGGCAGTGAGGGTCCGGAGCAGGAGCCAGGGTTGCAGGGCTGGGTGCTGGGGAATGAGTGCAGCTGCCCCAGCAATGGAGGGAACACGGACCGGAGGGGACTTCCAGACGGAGCTTCTGAGGGCCGGGAGGCACAAGTAGAGGGTGAGGCCCAGCTAGAGCCCAGAGCTCCTCCAGGAGGGGACCAGGGCAGGTTGGGGCTCTGCCAGGGGAGGGTTAGCCAGAGAGAGGGTGGGCACATGGTGGCTCCAGGAGGCAAAGCCCAGTGCTGGGAAAGGAGTGAGCCCAGGATGGAGGGTGAGCCTGGGCCGAGGGCGCTGGGAGATGCAGGAGGGGCAGAGGCAGCCCTGGGCTGACCCAGCAGCCTGGGGCTGAGCTCAGGGCCCTGCGCTGTGGGAAAGGGATTGTAGGTCAGGGCGGAGAGGGGCCTGCTGTGGACCTGGAGCTCCAGGGATGAGGGGCAGAACAGCTACAGGTGAGCAGGGGAAGGTAGGAGGGCACAAGGGAGCAGAAGTCTACCCCAGGAGGTACGGGGGAGCAGGCAGAGCAGCTATAGGTGTGCAGGAGGCTGAGAGGTTAGGAGGGACAGGGCAAAGCCCAGGAGCTCCGCAGGTATGGCACGTAGGGCTTGGCATGTGTACAGGGGGCTGGAAGGGCTGGAGGCACAGGGGGTTGCCCAGGAGCTCCAGGGGAGCTGACAGAGCAGGTATTGGTCAGCAGGGGCCTGGGAGGTCAGGAGGGGCAGGGGGCTGCCCAAGAGCTGCAAGGGGGTGGGCAGAGCAGCTACAGGTGAGCAGGTGCCCGGGTGGCCCGGAGGCTCCGGGGCCTCCCCAGGAGCTCGGGGGGAGCAGACAGAGGAGCTACAGTTGAGCTGGGCAATGTCCTGGAGCTCCAGGGGAGTTGACAGAGCAGCTACAGGTCAACAGGGGTCCTGGAGGGCAGGAGAGGCCGGGGACTGTCCAGGAGCTCTGAAGGAGCAGGGAGAGCAGCTACAGGTGAGCAAGGACAGGTGGGAGGGCTGGAGGGGCAGGGGGCTGCCCAGGGACAGCCCTGAAGCCCTGGGAGACAGGGAGAGCTTGGAAGGGGGACGTCAGACGGCTGGGAGCCGAAAGAGCTTGGAAGGTGAGCAGAGGGCTGGGAGGAAAGACGGGGCAGGGGTCAGCCCAGGAGCTCTGGGGTTCTGGCAGAGCTTTGCAGGTAATCTTGGGCAGGTGGGAGGGCTGGAAGGGCAGCGGGCTGTCCAGGAGCTCCACAGGAGCAGGCAGAGCAGCTACAGCTGAGCAGGGGCAAGTGGGAGGCAGGAGGAACAGGGGCTGCCCAAGACCTTAGGGGACGAAGGGCACTGGGCCTGAGCTAAAAGAGCCCTCACCCAGTGGGACCTGAGGGGTACAGGGAGCAGGGACAGCTGGAGGATCCCAGGGCTCAGGTGAGGCTGGCTGTGCAGGGAGGAGAGTTGAGTTGGTTGAATTGCCAGGTGCATGTTGAGTTGGATGGAGGGGGGCCCCTGGGATGGAAGGAGTCTAGGAGTGAAGGGGCCGGGGGCATCCCTGAGAGGACCAGATAGGATGCAGTTCTCGGGTGCAGGGACACCTGTTCTGGAGCTTGTGGGGACACTGGACAGGAGAGGTAGACGTGCGGAAGCAGTGTGGGGTGACACAAGGCAGGGGTCCCGGCAGAAGGAAGAGCGAGGCCCCCATTGGGGTCTGAGCTGCGGCTGCCAGCATGGGGAGAGGCCAGGCAGGGCCCTGGGGCTGAGCAGACAGGCCTCGGTCAGAGGGGACAGGACAGGCCTGGGTGTTAGGGGTAGAGGGAGCACCCTGGCCCACACGGGGTCCTGGGGAGGCTGGCACCTAGAGGAGAGGAACGCCAAGGGCAATACACAGCTCCCGCCTGTGCCCAGGGGCCGGCTGTGCTGGGGAAGGACCACGGCTGGAGGAGGGTTCTGCAGTGAGCAAGGAGCTGGACAGGCCCAAGAGCAGGGAGGGCAGAGGGCAGGCGACGCTGGCAGGGAGGGTCCGGAGGTGAGCCCAGGAAGGCGGGCCAGGTGGACCTGACTGCGGAGGGGGGCCCAGAGGCAGATGCAGGAGTCTGGGCTGGGGGCCCACAGGCACGGGAGGGGAGGGGGACAAGGAGACTCCCCGGGACGGGATCCAGGGAAGGGATGGGGTTCAGGACAGGGATGGGGTCCAAGGCACAAACAGGGTACTGGTCAGGATCAGGGGAGCTTCGGGGACAAGTACTCCTGGTGCTGTGGCTGCGGAGCTAACAGAGAAGACACGTGGCCTGGCGAGCAGAGACAGACCATGGCAAAGCCACTGGGGGCTGGGGAGGCAACAGGGACAGTGCAGGCCAGGGTCCCACCACACCTGAAGAGATGCCCCATCGCCCAGGGCTGGGCCAGGCTGGGGCCACAGGACAAGGGATTGGGGTCCATCAGAAGCCGACCAGGAGCAGGGGTCACTGGTCAGAGCTCTGACAGAGGGCTCAGTCAGACGGGCCACCTTCAGGAGGCCTAGCAGGGAGAAGGGGCAGGGGTCCCAGGGGGCTCTATTCCAGGTGGGTATCCAGTGCTGACCAGGTGATCAGTCCCTAGAACGTGGCTGCAGAGGCACCCGCCCCTCATGAAAGGGAGCCACTCAGGGCATGTAGTCCTCAGACTCTCTGCAAGCACGCGGGCGCTGGGCTCAGTGGTGCCCCAGGCCTGGGTACCTGACACCCTGCCCGGACCGTCGCAGGGGCAGGCCCTGATGGTCACACGCCTCCTCTCTTACAGCCTCCAGCACCGCCCCGAAAATCTTCCAGCTGACCCCCAGCTGTGGGATCACGTCTGACGCCACGGTTGCCCTGGGCTGCCTGGTCTCTGATTACTACCCAGAGCCGGTGACCGTGTCCTGGAACTCGGGCGCCCTGACCAGTGGCGTGCACACCTTCCCGTCCGTCCGGAAGTCCACGGGGTTCTACTCCCTCATCAGCATGGTGACCGTGCCTGCCAGCACCTGGACCAGCGAGACCTACATCTGCAACGTAGCCCACCCGGCCAGCAGCACCAAGGTGGACAAGAGAATCGGTGAGAGGAGGGGACGCAGGGAGGGCATTCCCTGCAAGACAGGCCAGGCTCTGCCCTCCTGCCTGGACCCCAGGACAGCAGGAGAGGCCTGCCGAGCAAAAGCAGGGATCCTCTGGGCATTTCTGCCATGCCCAGAGTGGGAGCTGGCTTGACAGCCCTAACCCAAACCCTGGGCCCACAAGGTGGCACTGGTGTCAGAGCTGCCAAAACCAGGCCCGGACGTCAGCTCACCCCAAGGCCGTCTCCTTTCAGCCCGTGTAACCCCCGTGTGTTCTCTCTGCAGAGGGCGTTATCCCCATCCCATCGGTCCCCAAGCCCCAGTGTCCCCCGTACACAGGTGAGTCAGCCAAACCTCCTCCTCTACCCCCAGGAGGTGGCCAAGCACAGGCTTGGCCCATGGGGGACAAGGGCCCAAGAGGAGGCCCGCTCAGGAACTGATCCCCCGTCACCATGTCTCCCACGTCACATTCTAAATTCCTAGGAGGGCCTTCCGTCTTCATCTTCCCCCCGAATCCCAAGGACGCACTCATGATCTCCCGAACGCCCGTGGTCACTTGCGTGGTGGTAAACTTGAGCGATCAATACCCCGATGTCCAGTTCTCCTGGTATGTGGACAACACGGAGGTACACTCGGCCATCACGAAGCAGAGGGAGGCGCAGTTCAACAGCACCTACCGCGTGGTCAGCGTCCTCCCCATCCAGCACCAGGACTGGCTGAGTGGAAAAGAGTTCAAGTGTAGCGTCACCAACGTAGGAGTCCCACAACCCATCTCGAGGGCCATCTCGAGAGGCAAAGGTGAGGGCACGGCAGACGGGCACGGGGAGGGGCCCGGGAGGCCACCCAGGGAGTGACTGTGCTGACCCCTACCCCACAGGACTGTCCCGGGTTCCGCAGGTATATGTGCTGCCCCCACACCCAGACGAGCTGGCCAAGAGCAAGGTCAGCGTGACCTGCCTGGTCAAAGACTTCTACCCACCTGACATCAGTGTCGAGTGGCAGAGCAACAGGTGGCCGGAGCTAGAGGGCAAGTACAGCACCACCCCAGCCCAACTGGACGGCGACGGGTCCTACTTCCTGTACAGCAAGCTCTCCTTGGAGACAAGCAGGTGGCAGCAGGGAGAGTCACTCACGTGTGCGGTGATGCATGAGGCTCTCCACAATCACTTCACGAAGACAGACATCTCCGAGTCTCTGGGTAAATGAGCCACACGCCGGCACCCAGCAAGTGGTCCCTCCTTCACCGCAGGCTCTCTGGGTCCCGCGAGGACACCTGAGCCCCCACCACTGTGTACATAGCTTCCCGGGCACCCAGCATGAAATAAAGCACCCAGCATGGCCCTGGGACCCTGCAACGCGGTCGTGGTTCTTTCTGAGGCAGAGCTCCAGCGCTTGGTCCGGCCTGCCTGCAGGGCAGCTGGGCTCTGAGGCCATTAGGGGAAAGAGTGGGTCGCAATTAGGCCAGACCCAAGCTACAGGGTGTGCCGGCCGCCAAGGAGTGCTAGAGGGGCTGCCGAGTGGGGTGCAGGCCTCATCAGAGGTGGCAGCTCCTCTGGGCCGCCCTCCTGCCAGCAGCAGCTCGGGGCTGGAGGGTGGCCAGGGAACAGGAGAAGCCCCTCCAGAGTCCCTCAGGGAAATGCACTTGAGGGCGTCCCTCCTCTGTAGGAGCCCGAGCTGTGGGAACACGGCCCATCCTTGTCCCCCAGGATCCCTGTCCACTGGGTCACTTGAGAGCTCTGCCTGGTGGCTCTGGCCCTCACGAGAGGCTTGAGGGCCCGTGGAGTGGGGACAGGCCCTCCTTTGCCCTCGGGCACTCCAAGATCAGGCCCCCACCCTCCCTCAGGTGAGGGGCTCTGCCTGACCTTGTCCTGCCTGGGGCCAGGCCTGTCCACTCGTGGGGACACTCATTCTAGGTCCCCAAAGAGGCAGGTGGCCTTGAGTGCCCAGGGAAGGACTGTCCCTGATGGCCATGTGGGCACTGAACCCAGACCCCTTGAAAACAAGCCCCTCTCACTGAGCAGTGCCAGCCCACACACCAGCTCCACACACATGCACACGTGTGTGCACAAACACGCACACAGAGCTGGCCTTACACACTGGGGCTTCACATAAGGGCAACCTGCACATGCCCAACAGAGCACAGAGCCTGCTCTCCTGAACTCTCAGCCTGGGCACCAACTGGTCCCCACCTCCTCCCATGCCCCACGGGCTGCCCAATGCTCATCCTCACAATGACCACACTGACCACACTGACCAGCTCTGGCAAGCAGCCCTCTGCTTCCCTGGGGCAGAAACCCCCACCCTAACACACAGAAACCCCCACACCCAGATGTCCCCAGCACTCCAGGGCTCATGCACTCGGAACACATTCAATCCTATCTCGGCCCTTCCCAGGGATAGGGGCCAAGCTGCCCACAGGCTCTGCTGACCCTCCCGTCCTCGGGGCCTGGTCCCTGGGAGAGAGGAGGCCAGGCATGAGCCTCCATCCTGCAAGGCCCGGCGCCTTCTCCCCGGGGGGCCCAGCACAGGGCAGAGCAGAGGAGAGAGTTAGTCCCCCACTGGCCTGGCTGAGACCTGGGTCAGTGGTGAGACCTGGGTCACTGGGTGACTCAGAGTCCTGGCTGGAGGAATGGGGGACTGAGGTCACAGCACAGAGACTGACCTCAGGGCACCACTGACCTAGCCCATCTGAGGGATCCCACCTGCCCCACCCACTCTGCCACAGACAGAATCACCCCCGGGGGCCCCGCTGACCCTGCCTAGCCCCCTCGGGCAGTCACAGCACTGACCACCCCCTCCCTGTGCAGAGATGGCCCTGGATGAGAGCTGTGCCGAGACCCAGGACGGGGAGCTGGACGGGCTGTGGACCACCATTTCCATCTTCATCACGCTCTTCCTGCTCAGCGTGTGCTACAGCGCCACCGTCACCCTCTACAAGGTGGGCCAGGCCATCCCCATGTCGTCCCCTCGCTGTCACCATGCTGTCCCCACAGTGTCCTCACCATGTCCCCTCACTGTCCCCTCACAGTCCCCACCATGTTGTCACACTGTCCCACACTTGCCACACCGACCCCTTGCTGCCTCATCACTGTCCCCTCACTGTCTCCGCACTGACTCCTGGCTGTCCCGACACTGTCTCTACACTGTCCTTCACTGTCGCCATGCTGTCCCCACACTGTCCACTCTCTGTCCCCTCACTGTTCCCACGATGTCCCCTTGCTGTCCCCCCTGTGACCCCCCACTGTGAGGTGGCCCGGGTGCAGGGAAGGCAGGCCCTGGCGGAGGCCGGCGTTGGGTCCAGGCCACGCTCACCCCTGGCCCGCCCGCTGCAGGTGAAATGGATCTTCTCCTCGGTGGTGGAGCTGAAGCGGACGATCGTCCCCGACTACAGGAACATGATCGGGCAGGAGGTCTAGGGTCACTCACCTGGATGGGTGTCCATGGCCGCCCCAGACTTTAGACGGCATCCACGTCCAGCAGGTCATGCTGCTCAGCTGCCGTGCAGACCTGCTCCTCTTCTTCTGACCTCAGCAAATGCTGACCTACTGCCCTCTGACCTTAGGGCCACCTTTGGCCTGCACCTCGCCTTCTGGCCTTGCAGCCACCGCAGTCTGCATCCTGCCTGCTGGCCCATGTGGAGAACCGAATGGACAGCAGTTGTAACCCCAAGCAGAGTTGACGGACGCCCACCGGCCCCCTCGCAGCAGCCACCAAGCAACACCAGGACCATGTGCACTGAGGCCTCGGGCCTGAGTGTCCCTCACCAGGACGGCCCAAGGTTGCACGTCTGAAACCCTGTAGGAGGTGGAGAGCCGGCCTTCCCGTGATCATCTTGGCAGGGACAGGGCTGCATGCAAACTGCACGGTGCCAGCCTCCAGGACACGGGAGGAGACGCCCGGTTTCAGATCCTCAAGTGGGAGCACCTGCCCCAAGGCCTGGAGGCCCCGGGGCCATCGTCCACCAGCAGGGAAGCTTCCGGGTGTGCCCCTCACGGTCACTCGGATCACAACCACCCGAGGAGACTGCTAGAAGGAGGACCTGTGCCCACGGCCGTGGGAGAAGCCCCAGTGGGTGGAGGCGGCAACAGCTGGGGAGGGTCAGTGTCCAGCCAGATGGCGTCCTGGGGAGGGGCCCAAGTCCCCTTCCGCAGGAACTCCGAGTTGCTCCACGGGGCAGCGGGGAGAGACAAGAACACCGAGGAAAGAGCCAGGGCCTTGGGAAGCTGGGCCAGGTGGACCGAGCCAGACCCCCGACCTCACCAACCCAGGAACCAGTGCCCCCTCACGTCTCTGAACAAAGGGCAAGTCAGCATCTCTGGACGGGCAGGACACGGCTGCGCACGGGAAGCAGAGGCGGCCCCACCCCGCCTGCCAGGGCCCTGCACAGAGACGGCTCAAAGGAAAGCCCACAGTGGGAGCTTAGATAGCTTTTCTCCTTCTTGAAGTTTCTGTAGCCCATAGATCGTCTTTACAGTTTCTTTTTCTAAAACAATAATAAAATACCTGGAAAATTCCATAACTGCTCATGTTGATGCCTCGTGGAACCCACAGCCTGGCCGAGTCGTGCATCGGGGCTCCCTCCACACCCTCACAGCTCCATGACCTTCCAGCCCTCCCTCCACTCCTGCCCTCGGCTCTCCAGCCCCCGGGGTTCCATGGGTGAGGAGGGAGGCCGGGAAACGGTGTGATGAGGAGGGAGGGGGTACACGGGCCTTGTGGGGAGCAGGACCAGCCCGGGCCCGGGCAGGAGGAGCGTCCAGCACTGGCCCAGGCCAGAGGAAGGACCGCATGTGGGGTGTGTATTAGTCAGCACGGGCGGCTGTAACAACCAGCCTGGGCGTCTTGAACACCAGACATTTGTCCTCACACTTTCTGGAGGCGGGACACCCCAGATCAGGGGGTCAGCAGGGGATTCTCCTGAGGCCACTCTCTGGGGCATGTAGATGGCCTCTTCTTCCCACGTCCTCACATCATCCTCCCTCTGTGAGTGTCAGCGTTCTCACCCCTCTTCTTGTAAGGATACCAATCCTATTGGATCAGGGCCCACCCTATAGACCCCATTGTAACTTAGTACCCCTTGAAGGACCCTAGCTCCAGATACAGCCACATTCTGAGGTCCTGGGTCAGGGCTTCAAGATTGGAATTTGGACGACACAATTAAGCCCCAAACAGGGGCAGTGGTCCCAGCACACACACACACAGCGCCCTGTCCCGCACGCTCAGCTATCGGTTACCCGGGTCCCTCACGCTGCCTCCCACCCAGAGTCTCTGCTCATGCTGTTCCCTTCTGCCGGAGTCCCTTCCCTCTACACACCCCGCAAACTCCTACACACCCTTCTCTTAGCTCTGAGCTCCAGGCCTCCTCTCAGTCTTCCATAATGCACCCAGCAGAACGCTCCCCACCACCCCGGGCCTGGTCTGTGCCGGCCTCTGCCACTCAGTATCCCCCTGCGTCCACTCCCCAGACACAAAGTAGATCATCCCGCAAACAGCAAAGTGAGGACACCATGATGAGTGCATAGGGGGAAAGTGCCGGGAGCTGAGAGGCCCCACAACCAAAGGGACCGAGGGAGGCTTTCCCAGGGAGCAGCTGACTCCGAGTCTGGACGAACGGGGTGCCCAGCCTCCCCCAGCTCTGCTCCTCAGCACCAGGTCACCTGAGCCCCCGCCCTGGTCACAGAACTTCCTGGGCCCAGGATACGTGGGCCCACGTGGGAGAAGACATTTGAAACATGTTAAAGGACTGATTTTAAATCATGGTGTGCTCACCAGGCTCATGTAGACAGGCAATGAACACATTTCAAAGACTTCATTGAACTCAGCAATTAAGGGCTTATAACCAGCTCTAAGTAGAATTCAAACTACCTCGTGGATGTAGTGGAACCAAGAATGCTAAAGGACCTTGTGAATAGAGGCATTTTCAAATGCATCTGATTTGTCCTCCTGAGAGAGGGAGGAGTCAACCATCCTTCCAAGAAGAGCATTCCTGTGGCCTTGATTCTCTACAACGGGCAGAGCTGTAAAATAGCCCAAAGAGGGTGGAAAGGGTGGAGCCCCTGCTGCTCACATTACCTGGGGGGGCGGGACAGTGCCTTGCTTCCCACTGAAGACAGAAGTCACCTTTGGTCTGTCCCAATATTTCCTACAAACAGGCAACTGACAATGTATCCAGAATATGCAGGGAACTCCTGCAAATCAATTACAGAAACCACACAGTTCCGTAGAGAAATGGCCAAGAGCATTGAACAGGCGTCTCACGGAAGACATCCAAATAGCCTGAAACCGAGGGAAAGGAGGCTGAGCCACGCTGGTTATAAGGGAACAAGAATGAAAACCACGTGAGAGAAAGCAGTTCCGATTCCCAGGTCGGGGAGCAGCTTGCACCAGACGAAGCCCCTGCGGACGCAACCGTGAACTCGGGAAACTGTGCAAAGCGGCAACGGTGTGAAGGCGCTGGGGAACGGCCAAGGAGGCAGACGCTGGACAGGATCTCCCCTGGAAACCTTTGTCGGAAGGTACTCCCGCGTCCACGCAACAGTGTAAGTGGAACCCAGCTGACGCTGTGACCATCCCGGAGTGGGGTCAGGTCACAGGATTCAGGGCTGCATCTCAAGAGCAGCTGGCAAGGCAGGGAGATGTGCATAAAAGGGGGAGCCACAGCAGGGGAACCCCAAAACGTGCCTGTAACCTCTGCTCCAGTGCTGGGCTGGCCCTGTAATAGCCTGTGTAGGGAGCCCCACAGGGCCCCGCCAAAACACCAGCTGGGAGTTTGGACAACCTGCCGGGATTTGAGCTCCAGCCACCACACGGCAGGCAGACGAGGAGTCTGAGGCCCGTCGAGCCAACGGCCTCCTGACGTCAGAACCAGCACTATTCTAGGCCGAGGACCTCAGATGGCAGCAGCGAAACTTCCTCCTCCCGACAGGAGCCAGCCCTCCCCGATGGGAAGGAGGACGAGGGGGCAGGCTGGGACCTGCGAGGGGAGGCCGGGTCCAGGCCCCTCGGGAGGAGCCGGCCATCTGCTGAGGGAGCCGGCAAGCCCCGGGTAGCCCTCAGTCCTGCCGGGAGACAACCAGGAGGGATCTCGGCCTCCACGTCACCACCCTCTGGTCTCCTGCCCATTGACCGGCCAGCCGCTCCTCCGGACAAGTGGACCCCCGCAGCCAGGGAGCCAGGCAGGTCAGAGCCTGTCCGAAGGTGGTGTATGGGCAGGAGCAGACCATCTGCACAGCCAGGGGCCGGGCACCACAGCCTGAGGACAAGAACCGGGGTCCCACGTGGACAGATGCTGAGGGTCAGACCCTTCAGAGCTGAGTCCAGAGCGGCCATCTGTGCAGACTACACTGGGCCTCCTGTTCGGGAAGACAATCTACTGACGTTATCAGGGGTGGACGCCAGGAACAGGTACCCCTTCCCTGAGCTCCCTCCCTGCTTCTAGAATGTTCTGTCCTCAGGGGGCCATGGACTCAGATGCAGACGATCCTCGTGTTGCTTCCAGGTGGACTTGGGGGTGAGGTGTGACAGGTCCCTCAGGGTACGGTTCACCTCACACCTCCAGGGATCACTTTCGTCAACACAGAAGGTTCTGGAAGGACTGGGACAAGACTCTTGCTGTGAAGCGCCCCTAGTGCATGACCCCGAGAGGGCTGTGTGGTCTGGAGACCAGAGGACCCCCTTTACCTGTCTCGACCACACCTGCTAAGCCCAAAAGGCAGGACCTGGCAGCGGCTGTTCTGAGATCCAGGGACGGTGGTCGAGGCCGAGAAATGGTCAGGACACAGCGGTTGCCCTGCACCTGTTGCTGGACAGAGGGCCTGGGGTTCAGGAGTGGGATGTCCATGCCCAGCACACCCGGGGGCGCAGCAGAAAGCTGCAAAGATCTCAGTTACAGAGGAGGGGCCTTAATTTTTGTGTGTATTTTATGAGCCCAAGATAAGCTGTTGTTTCTGTTCTTACTCAAATGCCCTCAACCCCCTGCTCGGCCGGGACAGGGTCCGGTCTGGGCACTGATGAGGACCGTGGGCCAGCCGTGGTCATCCCAAGGGCCACAGACTACATGCGTGGTCTGAGGGTCACTTAAAAATAAGGACGCGCTGCCCACCCCACTTCCCACACGTGCACACAGCGGTCTGCAGGAGTCTCTCCTGGAGGGCCCGGTGCCCTGGAGATTCATGCTGCCCAGCAATCCTCACGGACACACCTGTTCAGAAAACACCACAATTACTGGTGAGACACTGAACACACGAATGGACAGCGGCCAGACTGCTCACAAGCCCTGACCACCACCTGCAGCCGCCGCCCAGGCAGCCGAGCCCTCGTCGCGGGAACCAGGGGGCAGCAGCCTGCTCTCTACGCTCAGACCTGCAGGACGTCAGACCTCGGTCTTCAGGACAGCCCGGGATTAAACAGCCACCCGTGCATCGCTGCAAACCTCCGGGCCTGGTCAGTGACTGCTGGCTTCATTGATTTCATCCCCAGTGACTTAGGATGGACCAGAGAGAGCCCAATGCACTCCCAGCAATCGCGGACACCCCACCTCCCCGGGACCCCATCAGGTGCCCCCGAACCCCCCCGTCCTATAAAGAAGGTTTCTGTACGTAGGAAACATTTTAACGTATCAGCATATATGTTATATAATATGTTAGCATTACACATATACATTATAGACACGTTTAGGATATATGATACACCCACAGAAAACAACTCACATATAGGCACGCACCCCCACTGCAAAGGCTCCCCCAGTCCCTCCCGCTCTGTCTCCCTGGCGGCAGCAGCTGCAAATATTCAGCCTTTGTTTTTCCCACTTGTGTGCTCTTGATTTCCAGAGTTTGGGGCCTGAGGTCTTGTGACAATAGCTCACAATCACAGTCACAACCAACCCCAAATATGCCTTCAGTCCTGGACACAACAGGGACAAAGGGGAAGCGGGCGAAGGTCCCGTATGCGGCTGAGAGGGGCAAGGGCGTGGAGTTGGGTCTCCTGCAGAAATGAGTGGAGAGGGGGCACAGGGCTGCCATCTCCCCCAGAGCAGCAGGTGTTCAGGGAGCTCCCACCCAGACACTGCAGGGCACAGCTCTGGGAGTCAGAGGACCCTGCCCACCATCTCGTGCCACCTCGTCCTCGTGGAACTGTCACACAGCTGGGACTGCATGCACCCGAGAAGGGCACCCCGAACCACACCACGAAGAGAATCGGTGCGTTTCGTTGAAATTTGGAGCGAGGGGCCTGCCAGGGTTCCTTGGTGCAGCGCTGGGCGGGATGGAGCAGCCTCCTGCATCCGAACATCAGGAGCTTCCCCGGGACCCCAACCTGGGCGACTCGGGAAGCCAGGGCGGGCTCCTCCTGGCCGCACCCCCAGCTCCCCTTACGAGTCCATACGTGTCTGGGCCCCTGGGGGCATCAGTCCCCCTGAAATGCCTGCAGGGGTCACGCTCCTACATCCACCCAGACGCACACAGCAATCGGGAGAGGTGCTACCGCAAGCAGACCTCCCAGGCGGAGCTGGTGTGGCTGAGCTGCCCTGGTGCCCATGGAAGCAGCAGAGAGGGGCCACAGCTGGAATGAGAGCTGGTGAGCCGAGGCTCACGGCAA